ATATATATAATATCTAACTATTTATATTTATTTATATAGCACTTTTTATATCATATAAAAAAAACCAAACAGGTTATGAATGAATAGCATAAATTATATTGAATGACATTTTCAATGTTTTTAAGTGTATATTTACTTCCCTTATCTCATAAAATAAGTAGGCTCTCATCTCCATCAGTAGTATCCCAACACAAACAGCAGCTAAATATATATATATATATATAGATTTGCATACATACCAATTAAATCTTATGTATTTACTATCCAGTTAACACCTAAATTTCAATTTTACATGCATAACCCCTTGCCTATACATGAAAAAGTGTATTTATTTCACTTTTAAAAGTTAAAATGATGATATTTTTGATGGGATGTGAAAATTTTAAGTGGTATAAATATAAAAAGCAAAACCTAGGCTTTATATATGTAAATACAGAAGCATAAAAAAAAAAGAAATCAACTAATCGAAAAGAAGATAAATTTTTTATTAAGAATTTAAATAAAAAGCACATTGCATCACCACATAATGTCACACCAAAACGAACAAACACATGCCCCCAAAAAAGAAAAAAAGAAAAAAAGAAAAGAGTTAAAACAAATCCAACAACACAAATTCTTCAAACTCATCAGGACATAAACACCACTCCTAGCACAGCAGCCAATCCCACAAAATACTTATAACTAAACGAAGCAATATTGGCGGCCGAGTAGTCATCCCCTCCGGTCGGCGATGGAGCGGGAGCCTCTGCTTCTTCTACGTTGATGAAAAGCTTCATTCCTTCTCTGCAGTGGTCGCCGATGGAGCAAATGTACCATTTTCTTCCAGCTTTGTTTAAAGCTACCGGATCCTTTCCTGTTGTCAATGGCGGCGTTTCTGCCGTTTTGTTGCAGGAACTGAAGGCCGCGCCTCCAACAGCCAGCACGTTGTGTCTCCCCGGTGCGTAGTTAAAAACTGCCAAAGTTTTCATCCTGTTTCCGTTATTTCTTTGATTTTTATCTCAATTAAATGCATCAGAATTTTTATGATGAATCTCAATGAATATTGCTCTATGAGGATCATGTTAGATTTTAAACTGTTAAATTGTTATAAAAATTGATGTGTTCTGGTTGAATAAGAGCTTAATGTTGAGTTTGAAGATAATATAAAATATAGGATGCAAAGATAAAATTGATATTTGTGGTTGCCCATGGCTGAACCTTTTAGAAGATAGAACTCTTCCAGGAGCTCTTTGACCCATCGCATTAGGATATATTATTATATAATGAGATAAGTTTTTCTTGTACTTATCATGCAATTTTATAATAATTTTTACAGATTTTTGGTCATTCATCATTCATCTGTATTAATCATGCGTTCAATCTCATTTTTTAATAAATAATAATTATTTACAATTGTCACACTTAAATCTCTCTGATATAAATTCAACCAGAATCTTCAAATAAAGAAACTTTTCCTACATTTAGCAGTAATTACAAGAAAAAAAAAAAGAAGAAGAAGTCCAAGATGCCCTCATCAGAATTTTCATAAATCATTATACTTTTATGGAAGATGATTATAATATAAATTTTGTATATTTATCTCGAAATAAACTTATTGATTTTAACATGCGTTTGAGCCTTTGGTATTGTAAATTCATCAAAGTATCAAAATATATAGCACTAACAAAACATGAGAAACAAGTTAGATTGATTCACCGAGGTTATCCCCAACTTTGAACTTCTTCCCCTCAGCCCATTTAGTGTAGTTCACTCCAAGAGTCCAGCCCTTCTCGTCTCCTACAAGAAAGTCAGTCGCCCCAACTATAGCTGGAACTACAGCCATAGCAATAAACAGAGCCAGCTTCAGAGCCATTGGAGTTTTCTCTCTTTCGCTCTACTCCTTTCTGCCTCTTAAGAAGCCCTTTTAGTCAGCAGAAAGGAGAAAAGGAAGAGTGCTTTGGGAGTAAGAGAAGATTGAAATGTGGAGTTGCTTTTATAGAAGCGTTTGACTCAGTTTCTTCTGTAGCTGCTGGCGCAGGCCGGCACCTTAATGGAGATATCATTAGGAAACGCTTAAACAAACATATAAGAAAACAAACGCGTTGTGAAAAAGAAGGCTCTTCGGCTCACAAATTTGTACAAATGGAATGATTTGCTGAGTCAAATTTAACTGTTTATCTTTATATATTTTATTTGTGTTGGTCTGAAGAAGTAAAGGAAGTTGAATTATTATTTTTATCTTTGTTGTCATCCATTAGTTAAAAAAAGAAATATTTTGGATGCTTCTGGGATTGGGTTGGGTGGATTGTGCGGCATCTGATAATCAGCATCCATTGTTAGACAATGTTTTGGATGATTGAATTGAGCTTATTTGGTTTGGTTAGAACTTGGCTTGATGGGGAGGAGTAGGGTCAGGTTTTGAATTTGGAGCGGTTTTTATTTTATTATTTTTTGTTTAAATTTCTTTAAATAGTGTGATATGCCCGTGCTTTAGAAGTTGAGATTTATTTTAGGTATAGGTTTCATTAATTTACATGTAAAAATCTTTGGGAAAATAGTTGCATTAATTTATTTTGTAAATGATTCATTCAGTTGATTTTTGTTTATGGTGAACCTGACCGAGTTGGAAAAATTATGAGCAAGTTTGATCTGGTCAAGAGAGAACGAACAGTGAGAATTAATGATTTTAATTGAACAATTTTTTAATGTTTACAAGCTTACTATACCCATGCCTATGGTTGATTTCCACTCAAAAAGCGAAATGATAAAATTATGAGAAGAATGCATAATTCAACTCATGTAGTTGACAATGTTGGCAACTATCTGTATGGTGGGTACATCAAGTAAATTTTAGGTTGAGGGTGAGTATGATTGACAAATTGATCTCGCAAGAGTCCCTAGTCGTTGGCGAATGCTTTAAAATAGTAGCCAATTTTGTGCAGTGATATAGCCTTGTTGAGTGTGTGAGGTCATGAGTCTGTCGACATAAATTCAAATTAGTTTATTGAGGATCGAGGGAGGTCTATCTCTAGGACGACTCAATGAGTCTTGATTCTATGTGAATACAACTTTGACTGAGTTCCGAGTTCGTTCTCGATTGAATAGTTGAATTTGTGAGCTTGTATAAAATTTTGCTCAATGTAATCCAATCAAATATATAAATGAGGAGTATGTATGGTTCTTGTAGTAACCAATCCTTATACATATCACTAATGCGTAAGGCAGCGTTGGGTTTATGGTGGATTTTTAAAGAGAAAAGATGCTACTATAAAGAGGCAAGTTGGAAAAAGGGGAAAAAATCACACAAATTTTATTTATTACGTATAAAATACTTCAACTTTAATGTTTACTCTCATAACACTTAAAATCTCTTAACATCATATAAAAAAAATCATTGATATTAATTCCTCTTGAAGTTAAAAACACCCTTTTTTTGTGTTTTGACGTGATAGTAACATTAACGTGTTATACAAGCATCAAAATTTACGTGTAAATATGTAAATACATAACGATTGTGTGGTATGCATATAAATGTTCAAAAATATATCTGATACTATAATTCTCGAGGAGATATAATTTTTATGATAAAACTAAATTTTTTTAAAATATTTTTTAATATTTTAAGTTTTTTGTCAGAATCGAGGATAATTTTATGACAATTATTTAATTGTTTAATTTTGGTTGATTTTATCAAAAAATTATAATGTACTTTGTGCTATTATAGTGTGATGCTTTGTGGTTGAGAAACATCGTTTTATAAGAAGAAAATTTGATTTTATGACTCACAAATCATATTTGTAAAAATATGCCCACTATATATTTACTTAGAGAAAACATTACCAATTTTTTAAATTTTTTGGATCAAAATTAACTTAGAATGGATTATATGCCCGGTGAATAATCTAGATTGAAACAAGCAACATCTTTTTCATGCTCCTCAATATACTTCGAGTTATTCCTATTTAGTATAACAACCAAGCTAATGAAAAAATATTATGTCCGGATAATCAGGCGTGTGGTTGATGACCTGAATCGCATTACACCGTGCGCACAGTGGTGTAATGCAATTCATGCCATCGTTCGCAGGCCCTGACGATGGGCGTAATATTTATAATATTTAATACTATGTCTAATACTGCTCTTGTATAGGTGGGCTAGGTTGTCCTTTCGAGGAAGATGAGAATGATCAGATCGATAAACAAGCTCGATTCAGCTACTTAGGCAACCACTTCAACAGGTGAACTCGATTCAACAAGAGGAATTTTATTAATAATTTAAATAAACAGCTCACTCCATCACACAATATCACATACCCAAATATATATAAAAAAAAACACGCATAAACAAAGCCATCCACACAAATTCCCCCACACTCATCATAACATAACCCCCACTCCCAACACAGCAGCCAATCCCACCAAATATTTATAATAGCCAAACGTAGCAATATTGCCGGCCGAGTTGTCATACCCGTCGGTGGGCGAAGGAGCGGGAGCCTCCGCTTCTTCTACGTTGATGGAAAGCTTCATTCCTCTCTGGCAGTGGTCTTCGAAGGCGCAAATGTACCATTTTCTTCCGCCGGTGATGAAAATAAACGAATTGTTTCCCGATGTCAGAGGCGGAACTTGTCCCAGTTTGTTGCAGGAATTGAATTCTGCCTCCCCTCTCACTTTCAGCACGTTGTGCTTCCCCCGTACGTAGTTAAAAGCTGCAAAAATAAAAAAAAAAATTCATCTTATTTGACAAAATTTAGATTTGCAATTTATGCCTATTTACGTGTCTTTAATGAAATTAGAGGTGTTCAATATGCGATTTTAGCTTTTACTGGATGAATAGGAGCATGATGTTGAGTTTGAAGATAATATAAGGGCAATTGCATACATGTCATCCGAAACATTGGTATTTACAAATCTGGTGCCTATTTCTGTTCATTTTTCAAATTCTCTTAGCTATTGCATTCCTTTTTTCTCGTTGTTTGTCATATGTATAGAACTAACTTCGGTATTGGGCACAGTATCAAAGATCTTTTAGAAGCACATATTCCCCCGGGGGGTCGATTAGGACGTGGACATAAAGGTCGCTTCATTTTCAATTGGGCCTTGCTCTAGCCTCTTTAGGGGTTATTACTTCTTTAGTAGCTCAACACATGTACTCTTTACCTGCTTATGCAGACTTTTGTTTACCGAGGGTTCGAATCCCTCTCTTTTCGTACTAATTTCGTCAGCTCGAAGGGTTCCCATTAGTATCTCTTTTTTATTTTTCGGAAGGAAAGGTAAAAAATAATACCTAAACTCTAAACTAGAGTAAAAAAGGCTAATCAGTTATTTCTTCCATGGACCCGAGAATATCAATATTAGCACTAATAGTACGAAAATGTAATTCGATATCTCAAATATCAAAATTCGTTGGAAAGCCCCAACCCATATTTTTTATGCTTTATCAAATTTGCAATGATTTGATCGTGGCACACATAAATACTTCAATCAATTTGGTATATTTATCTCAAAACAAACTGAAATAATTTTAACATGCATTTGAGCCATTGATATTATAAATTCATCAAATTATAAAATTATAAAACATTAACAAAACACGAGAAAGAAGTTAGATCTATTTACTAATCTGATCCCCAACTTTGAACTCCTTCCCCTCAGCCCATTTAGTGTAGTTCACTCCAAGAGTCCAGCCCTTCTCCTCCCCTACAACATACTCGGTCGCTCCAACTATAGCTGGAACTATAGCCATAGCAATAAACATAACCAGCTTCAGAGCCATTGCAGTTCTCCTCTCTCTCTCTCTCTCTGCACCTTTCTGCCCTAAATTTATAGAGAATTAGGGTTCTTTAGAAGCCCTTTTAGTCAGCAGAAAGAAGAAAAAGAAGGGTGCTTTGGGATGGAGAAAACATTGAAATGTGTAGTTGCTTTTATAGAAGCATTTGACTCAAGTTTCTTCTGTAGCTGCTGGCGCAGGCCGCCACCATAATGAAAACAAATGCTTTGTGAATGATATGAGGCAAACATTAGACTCATTGGCGCACAAAATCAGTACAAATGGAATGATTTGCTGAGTTTGTTGATCCATTTAATTGATTTAGATGTATGGTGGACCCGGCTGACTTTGAAGAAGTCCGAGTTAGACCTAGTCAATAGGGAGAATTAATGTTTTTAATTGAACAATTACCATTTCGTGGGTACATCATGTAAATTTCGAGTTGAGGGTGAAGTACTTTTTAAAAATTGTTCTGGGGAGAGTCCCCAGTCGGCAGCGAGTGCTTTAAAGTAGTAGTAGCCAATTTTGTGTTGTACATACTAGTATATAACACACGCATATGATATTTTATAAGTTAATTTTTGAGCAATAAATGAGTTTGTTTATAAACATTAACATGCAAGTTAGTCTATGTTCAAATTTGGTTCATCAGCTCTGAATTTTTTTTAAAAATGGTCTAACTTGTTTATTTGCTAATTTGAACAAAAATGATGGGATATTAATCTAGTCGATTTCAACTTGTTCATCAAGTGCAATTGGTTCATTTACAGCCCTAGCAAAAACATCTCATCTTCTCTGCTTTGGAAATTACCCAAAATGTGAAGTTTTTTGTTTAAAGGCCCTGATAGCAAAAGTACAAGTAAATCATTATGGAACCTTCCTTGAGATGAGAAATTGAGAAAAAACAATGATCATTGTAGGACTTCATTTTGTGATATGTATGTAAATTTGGAATGCATATTAAATTATCCATGTTGCTTCATTTTTGCATCAAAAATATTAATTATTAATTCTAGTTCAAAAAATAATTTTTATATTTTCTCAATTTATGTAATTAATGAATTTTCAAGAAATCATTTAACATCTTATTTTAAAACATTGTTTTGATGATTTTTATTTCTAAAAATACTTGTTCAATTGTTGCTATCAAGATTGATTGAGATAATGTCAATCAAATTAATAAATTAATAAAAGCTATTTTTATGGCTTGTGCTATAATCAAGTAATTTTGTCTATTACCAGACCAAAAACAAATTGATATATAGAAGTTAAATAGGGGGATAATTTTTTAATAACATATTGTGATGCTATTATTAATGTCAATTGAAATTTATTTGTAAAATATTGCATATAATATGAAAATGGGTAAAGATTAATAAATGACAACTTTTGAAATTTAGGAGTTCTTTGTTTGCAATATTTAAATGGGTTATAGTCATTGCTCAAAATTTACTTAAAAGTAATGCCAATAATTTTTTGAATAAGTAAATTTTATAGTTGTAGAGTATCTGTTGATATCACTCATCGTAAACTTCAAGCTTGTTGCAATTTTTCTATTATTGATGTGGCACATCATGTTGGCTTCAAGGTGGGTCTCATAAAGAGGACTTAAGGTGAGGCACATAAGCATATGGGGCAACCTAATACCAGTGTGGCACATCATGCTGGCTTCAAGGTGGGTCTCATAAAGAGGACTTAAGGTGAGGCACATAAGCATATGGGGCAACCTAATACCAGTGTGGCACATCATGCTGGCTTCAAGGTGGGTCTCATAAAGAGGACTTAAGGTGAGGCACATAAGCATATGGGGCAACCTAATACCAGTGTGGCACATCATGCTGGCTTCAAGGTGGGTCTCATAAAGAGGACTTAAGGTGAGGCACATAAGCATATGGGGCAACCTAATACCAGTGTGGCACATCATGCTGGCTTCAAGGTGGGTCTCATAAAGAGGACTTAAGGTGAGGCACATAAGCATATGGGGCAACCTAATACCAGTGTGGCACATCATGCTGGCTTCAAGGTGGGTCTCATAAAGAGGACTTAAGGTGAGGCACATAAGCATATGGGGCAACCTAATACCAGTGTGGCACATCATGCTGGCTTCAAGGTGGGTCTCATAAAGAGGACTTAAGGTGAGGCACATAAGCATATGGGGCAACCTAATACCAGTGTGGCACATCATGCTGGCTTCAAGGTGGGTCTCATAAAGAGGACTTAAGGTGAGGCACATAAGCATATGGGGCAACCTAATACCAGTGTGGCACATCCTATAAATTTTGTGTAAATTGTGTAATGGGCATGTGCATATGTCAGTTTGTGTGAGCCCAACTGTGGTGAGTTGACTTGGATTACCCATCTCTGGTCAAACCTCTATGATCGGCCACAATAAATTAAAAAGTGGGCGAGCGTCCATATAAGAGATTGGAGAGAGTGGATGAGTGGGAGAAGTGGGCGGTTACCATAGTAGTGGGGCAATGGACAATTGTGTGGGTTTGTGTGTGTTGTAAATTCTATTTAAATGTGTTATGTGGAATGAAGTGTGTTATACTGCAAAAATTATTTTGAGAATAGAAAAAAACTTGAATTGTGGAAGGGCTTGGTAGCTTCTTCAAGAGGAGTGGTTTTGTGATCGTTGCTCACCACTAAACACTGATGATTTTAGTGTTTAATATTATTTTCTTTGTTTAAATTTTTATGTGATTTCTTTTGGTAAAGTATTTAATTATTTTTAAGGAATGCATTTTAGTTTGTTTTATTTTTCTTCCATATTTACCCCACCAAATTAATCCTTTTTATGCATGTTGGCATGAATTCTGCCTGATCCTACCTAGTTAGGGTTTTGGTTTCATTTGGGTGACCTAATATGCACTTATAGATTAATTTTAATATAAATTTTACCCATTTCTTTTGTGTTTTTGTTCAGTCCAAAAGTCAGAAAACGAAATGGTAATATTCTTTCTGGTTTTATATTTCTCCAATTTTTAATTGTAAAAAATTATAAAAAAAATAAAAAAAAACAAATATTTTCAGACATAAACTTTTGGATACTTTCAATCATTTATGAGTGAAGTTTTAAAGTAGCTTTTGTACTTTAAAACTTGGAACAAAATTCATAATGTTGGTGAATTCTATTTAGATTTGACCAACCAAAGTTAACATTTCTCAATATTGAACCTTACCAAATCCTCTCCAAACATCAATATTAACTGTAGAGGGAGGGAAGAGCTTCATATGCTTGGGCGTTCTTTGGGTTAATATAATATAATATAACATGATATATAGATTAATATTAAGAAAATAATTTGATTTATAACTTTTAGTAAAAGATTAGTGGCTTTACATTATAATTATACACTTAAATTTGTGATAAAACTTTTAATATAATCTTTAATATTGTATGTTTTACTCTAAATTTAGGGGTGGATAACTTCTTCTCAGTCACCCTTTAGTTTTACCTTTAATATTAATGCGTATCAAAAGATTCATGGTTGTAGAGTAATGAATTAGCATCTTAGCATTGAATGGATACCCATCACACACTCAGGTAATTAAAGAGAAGTAGACACCTCAATTTTTACTTGGAAAGCCATGGAAAGGGGAAAAAACTATGGGGCTTAGTCTAATTGAAATATTTAATTATGAGTTGGTCATTACAACTACAATTCCTTATCCCATAGATAGAAAAGAGTGACAAATTTTCTCGGATTACAGTGTATGTCGGCGGAAGAACTTGTTGCCCTGCCGTAGGAAGCAAGCAGCGGCCGATGGTGGTCGACGGTGGCCGGTATGTGTCTTTTACTGTTGGTTGGAGGCGGTGACATCGGAGTTGGTCGGAGCGGCGGGGGGTGGGGTTGGGCCGGGGGGTGGAAAAACACAGTGGGGACGACCAAAGACCGGAGTTTGTTGAAGGAGGCAACGCTCAGAAATGACAACACTCGGAGGTGACGATGACTGGAATTAGCCTGACATGGTGGCGACGGCGGCATCAGCTAGAGGAGGCGACGATATGAGTTAGCAGAAGGAGACGATAACCAAAATTGATCGAAGGTGAAGGCGGAGATCCGAGGCTGTAGCGTTTGGAGGCGACTACTGCAGCTGCAGGAGGCTGCATTCGGAGTTGATAGAAGGTGGCGACAGCCAAAGTTGGTAGGAGGCAGCGACGATTGAAGTTGACGGGCAGCTGTAGGAGCGACCGACCGACGGTTGTTCGTGACTTTCAGCATGCGGTGGTCAATGACGTTTGAAGGCTGCAGTTGTGGGAGGTCTACATTGGTTTGTTGTTGTTGACTGTTGCAAGATCAGGAGGCCTATGGTTGTTGGCGATGGTTGGTGATTGCATGAGTAAGAGGTGAACGCTGGATCGTTGGTGCAGAATCATGAACTTCAATCTCCCCTTCTGCAGACTCTAGTCTTCCTCTTATCTAGAATCTAGGTCCCCTTTCAAGATAAAGGCTAGGACTCTATTTATAGAGTTCAAGTTGCAAATAAGGAAGGAGTCCAAACAATTATTGATCGGGTGATCCAGAGAGATTCCCTTAGTCCAACGTCATTTGATGAACATTTTAGTAGCTTAATGATTTTGAAATTGAGCGATCTTAGGTTCATTGGATTCGAGCTACAGAGAATTTTGATTTGACTATAAGTATGTAATATTCTTAATTCGTCTAACCTTCCAATTACGCTTGGAAAGCTTAAAAAGTAGTTTATCAACTTGATTTGAACTTGATTTTATTCAAATTGGACCAATTTTGGTACTGTGGGGTCTGCCTTCTCGAGCCAGTGACTATAAGTTTGCTAAAATAGGAGTTTTTAGATCACTTTTAATCGAAGTTTGGGTATTTCTTATTCAAGTATTGCCTCAAGATCTGTCATGCCTTCTGATTCATGTCGGATGACAGAAATTTGTTGGTGGCGTATAAAATATGAAGCCAAATTCAACTATAATATACCCGCCTCTTCTAGGCTTGATTATAAACTTATAGAGTATTAATTTCTTGGGGCATTTGCATTCCTACCAAGATTCTTATGTATTTACTCATCTTGTACCTACATTTTTAACACTCAAAATTTTAAAAGTATCTTTTCATTCATAGGTTGGCAACTA